GGGGGGGGCTTTAGTAAGCATTGACTTGATGGCAGTGAATTTGGTTTTTTGGCTTGGATAAAGTCACTGAGTCAGAAGGGACTCAATGACAGCAGGCTATGAGATTTTAGTCAAGCCGCTAGATTCAACTACCACGGAAAAGGCACTATCACTGAAGATCAGTGGTCCCAGAGTGTCTGTTGATTCAATATCACGTAAATCCTACAAGGAAGAGCAAATGAACACACTAATGCTCCGACTGGCTTTGAAGCTTAAGAAATGGTAGAAAATATTCCTGGTGTCTTAGTTTCTTAGCGCTATTGCAACAGAAATACCACCAGTGATTGATTTTAATGAACAGAAGGTACTGGGCTCTAGTGGAAGCCTCTCTTCTCTATCCATTCTGGGGGAAATTGATGACTCAATTCTCTAGCCCTGGCTTTTCTCTGCACTTCCCAACCTCAACAGGGCATCTATCTTTCCCTTAGTTGTGTTTGCCAGCGTGGTGCCTCATTGCCTCTTTTTACATCACAAAAGTGGTTAAGACACACACTACGCTGATATGGCCTTATTAATAAACAAAAGTCCTATTTTCAACTGGAGTTAAATCCATGGGTAAAAAGGGTTAGGATTTGAACATATTCAATCCCTAAAGAGGAGCTTGGAAGTAACAGACAGACATGTCTGACCAAAAACTATATTCAAAAGATAATACGCATATCTACATTTAGGTTTATTTCTGTCATAAATATGAGAGTTCCATAAAAAGACTTTCAAGATAAGAAATTAAGAATATTTGTTTTATTTTTAAAACTTCTTTGTGAACGAGAAATCCTGATGCAAGTATACTTCGTTCTAAACACCCACCTACAACTACTACACAGAACACTCCTGTTATTGTCTAATAATAGAAAAGCAGAAATAAATCAAGGTTCTACTCATCAATCTCTAAAACAACAATAAAACCCAAACAAAATCCGTTGCTGATACAGTCATTCCAATTTATACCAACGCTTTAGGACAGAGGAGAAATGCCTCCATAGGAGTTCCGAGACTTCATATTATTAAGAAGCAGAATGCTACAACTTTCTCCCACAGAACAGCTGGTGGGTTCAAACCATCACACCTTTATATAGCAGCTAAGCCTTGAACCACTGTATCACCAGGGGCCCTCTAAAACATGTTAGGTATAGCACGGGTTACATATTGGGCTGCCAACCACAAGGTCAGCAGTTCAATCCACGAGCTGCTCCACAGGTGAAAGCTAAGGCTTTCTGTTCCTGTAAAGACTTTGTCTCAGAAACCCACAGAGGCAATTCTACTCTATCCTATAAGGGTCACTATGAATTGCTATCAAATCAATTGTAGTGGGTTTGGGTTTTAACATTCTTAATCCATATTTTTATAGCTCTCTAATAGGCAGTATCAGATTGTTACAGCTCTGTAACAGGCAGTATAGAGGCAAAACAAAACAACTTACATAAAAACTAGCTTATTATTTACCCAAACACACACACACAAAAAAAATCGGAGTCACAAAATTTTTCTTATTATCTTGAGTTCTAGGTCTGGAGGTCTTAACATATTAGAAACTTGTAATAATAGCTCTGTAATACAAAAAAATCGCACAAGAAATAATTTTCAGTTTTTAAAATTAGTAACTTTTATATGCAATTAGGTAACAAACTGAAAAAACACAAGGAAATGAATAGTAATCCAATAGGAATACTGATTACTGCTTTGTGAGAGTCTCAATTAATATGGCCCCTCCAGTCATAATGCCTTATTAATATATTATAATTCTGGGTTTCATTCGCCTGTGGCCACAGTCCCATTTTGGAGGGCGCTATCAGTTAACAAACAGGAATAAAATAGGATTAAGATCTGACCTTAGTGCGGAGTGGGTACCCAAAGCCCATCTGTAGGCAACTGGACATTCTCTTATAGAGGGGTCAAAGGGAGGAGAGGGGCCAGTCAGGGCACAGTGTAGCAATGATGAAACATGTAACTTTCCTCTAGTTCTTAAATGCTTCCTTCCCCCCACCACTATCATCATCCCAATTCTACCTTACAAATCCGGCTGGACCGGAGGATGTACACTGGTACAAATAGGAACTGGAAACAGGGAATCCAGGACAGATGAACACCTCAGAAACAGTGGTGAAAATGGCGATACTAGCAGGCTTCATCAAAACAAAAAAATTATATCATTGTGAATGAGGGGGGAGTGCAGAGTGGAGACCCAAAGCCCATTTGTTGGCCATTGGACATTCCCTTGGAGAAGGGTCTCAGGGAGGAGACGAGTCAGTCAGGGTGCAATGTAGCAACGATAAAACATACAACTTTCCTCTAGGTCCTAAATGCTTCCTTCCCCCACTATCATGATCCCAATTCTACCTTACAAATCTGACTAGACCAGAGGATGTGCACTGGTACAGATAGGAACTGGAAACACAGGGAATCCAGGACAGATGATCCCTTCAGGACCAGTGGTGTGAGTGGCAATACTGGGAGGGTGTTGTATGAGCCCCTGATAAAATGATTAAAAAAAATACCTAAGGTATTCAGAAAACCAGGAAAGTCTAAAAATGTGTAGAATGCATGTTATTATTTTGTTGATGCTTACTTGTTCTTACAATATACCAAAACAAACAAAAAGAAAGGAAAATGGCGATACCAGGAGGGTGGAGAGAAGGTGGGAGAGAAGGGAGGAACAGATTACAAGGATCTACATATAACCCTCCCTGGGGGACGGACAGCGGAGAAGTGGGTGAAGGGGATGTCAGACGGTTTAAGATATGACAAAATAATAATAATAATTTATAAATTATCAAGGGTTCATGAGAGATGGGCAGTAGCAGGGAGGAATGAAAAAATGAGGAGCGGAATCCACGGGCTCAAGTGGAAAGCAAATGATTTGAGAATGACGAGGGAAACAAATGTACAGGAGTGCTTGACACAATGGATGTATGTGTGGATTGTGATAAGAGTTGTACGTGCCCCCAATAAAATGATTTAATCAAAATTAAAAAAAATCTGACCTTAGTAGAGGTTTTGAATTGGGCCAGACTTTTTAAAGGCTATCTTGGTCACTGTTACTTATTACTTGTGACAAAAGAACTTACAGCTGAGCGGAAAAAGCTGCTTCCGGAGTAGCCTGGGAAGAAACCTGGCAGGTAAAATTAGAAGGCCAATGCCTACTAAAAACCTCCTGCCAGAGGCTACAGGTCATGTGTGCACATAAATAAGATATAGGTCAGGAGTGGAGAATAAATTTTTTGAGTGAAGAGTTATATTTTAATTTGATTACACCACTGAAATTCAATGTAATTTCCACCAAACGATCTTTCCCTGTTATGAGCCTGGTAAGAAGATGGGGGAAGACACTGATAAGATTCGACTGTGAGTAATTGTGAACGCAATTCCTTGTGATGTCACTGCTGGCAAGAACCAGTAGTGGAACGCATCCTCGGACCTAGCAGCAGGCTTACCTTTGCATGACCTTCGGCTTAAGGACTGCACAGCACCACCCACTACACCACATAAAGACATTTGCTCAAACTTTCAAAAGTTTCTGTGGGACACTGCAGTGATTTCACAGAATCCAGAACATGAGAAAATATACTCCAGGGAGGAGTCAAGGGGACATGGAGCTGAATAGCATCTTGGAAGAGTTGGACATTTGGGATTTCCTCTCTTCTTCAATTCCTTGGGACTAGTTTGGTATTAATTATTTACAAAAGCAACTATTAACTATTACCACTGGGATATTTATTAGAAAAGGGCAAGGGCAAACATGATCTAATTCTAGATCTGGATGAGGATCACAAAAAGTACTTTATAATAGTTCCACTTAATTTTTTTAATGTTAATAAATAGGGAAAGACTACAATCCCATACATGGCAGTAGTGTAATTTATTACAAAGAATTTGATTTGATTTGGACAATGTGAGCTGCCTGTTTGACATCCATGTCTTTACTTCCTCTTATGATTCCCCAACTTTTGTACTTCAGAGGAGGCTGATCAGCCCTGATCATGATAGAAACTCACGGCTAGGGAATCAATGCCAACTCATCGTGACCCTATCGGGCAGACAGAGTAAAACTGCCTCTGTGCCTTTCTGAGGCTGTAACTCTTTACCAGAGTAGACAACCCTGTCTTTTTCCCCACAGGGCAGCGAGTGGCTTTGAACTGTTGACCTTGCTGTTAGAAGACCAACACCAGGGCTACTATAATCACGGTTACTTATCAAGAAAAAAACAGTCAACTAGTATACAGAACTCCCCTAGTCACAGATACTGGCCCATGAATGAGTCTTAGACATTTTCTAAAAACTTCTGGAGAGGTACCTCATTAACCCCCCTAACCAACAGAAATGTATTTTCTCTCACAAGTTAGGGAGCTAGAGTCTAAATTCAGAGCTCTGGCCCTGGGAGAAGGCTTTCTCTGTGTCATCTCTAGATGAAGGTCCCTGTCCCTTCAGGATCTACTTCCTAGTTCCTTAAAGATCTCCATGTGGCTTGGCTTCTGTCTTCCCTGGGACTCAAGAGATTATCAGTGCAGGGCACACAGGTGCAAAGGGCATGCTCCATTTTGGTCTCTTTGTTGGTAGAAGTGAGGTTCCTCCAGTCTCTCAAGCTTGAAAGCCACCAGTAGAGATGCCAGGTTTAAAACAACATATTGTGAAAAGCACCAATTTTATAGTCATGCAGCAAAAATCAGACTAAGGAAGAAGCCAACAGGGCAGGTCAAAACTGAGGCCATTTCAGAAAATCAGGGCCAACATTTTTAAGGGTCATAGATTACAATGTGAATAGCACTCTCTGATCCCTTTAGTCACTTATGTAGAGGGTAAGGTGAAATAGAGGAAGACAGTAAACAATATGAATTGACATTGTTTGCAACAATGGCTCAAACATAACAGTTATGAGTTTGGTGCAGGCTAAGGCAGTGTTTTATTCTGTTGTACATGGGGTTGATAAGAGCTGGAGCCAAATCCACAGCATCTAACAACAATAGTTGCACAGAGAATAATCTGCCAACTGGATTTGGTGGTGTCCGAGTTGGAGTCACAGGATTAAGCCAACAATATTAAGTCCATGGGAGAACCATGGACTGCCAAAGAACAAACAGATCCATCTTAGAAGAAGTTCAGCTAGTATGCCTCTTAGAGGCAAGGATGGAGAGCTTTCATCTCATATACTCTGAATTTATTATCAGGAGAGACCAGTCCCTGGAGAAGGACATCAAGCTTGGTAAAGAAGAGAGGCAGAGAAACAGAGGACGTTCTCGACAAGATGGATGGACACAGTGACTGCAACAACGGGCTCAAACATAACACTTGTGAGGCTGGCACGGGATAGGGCGGTGTTTCCTTCTGTCGTACATACAGTCACTGAGTCAATGGCACCTAACAACAACAAAGTTGGGTTCTACCAATTGAAATAAAGGAATTGTGTAAAGTAACATTTAGTGACCAGGTTGTCTAGCTGGTAATTTCATTTCCCAGCTCTGTATGGCAGAACACAACAGAACCACATCTGTCACTGAATCCATTCTCAGTTTTTGTCCTAAATTAGGGAATTTAACATTAACAGTGTGCACTGTACTTCATAGAGAAGAAGTAACTTGTTATCAAAATCTCCTGCTCCATTCCCACAAATTACCACCCACAAGTTCTCCTTACACACTGTAAATGAAATATACAAAATCAAGAAGGAAGTTCTCATTGTAAAATTTTGGTGTTTGTAATGTGATGCAAAGGTACTTATCCGAATCTTTCCCTTAGCTGTTATATTAACCAGCATGGATTGTGAAGGCAACTATAATAAATCTTCGTATTTTTGCTCTACTCATACTATTGTCCTTTATGCCCCTCGGTTTCCTATTTTGTTAGCATGTGGGTTTTACAAGCACAACACATTCATTGTGGTGATTTCTGAAGCAACCTATGAGAAAGAAGAATAGGATGTTTGGCATAAAAACATGTCTGATGAGGTTGAGCTGGGCTGTTAAAAAGGTCAACAGAAAAAAAAAAAAGAAAAAAAAGGTCAACAGTTTGAAAGCACCAGCATTCCTTGGGGGCAAGATGAGGCTTTCTGCTCCCATAAAGATTTACAGTCTTGGAGGCCCACAGTGGCTCTTCTACTCTGCCCTACAGGGTTTGCTATTAGTCAAAATCAACTCAATGGCATTGGGTCTGAATTTGATGAGGTTACTGATGAAACATTACTACATACAAATACATCAATATCTCCTGGAAAACTTGAAAGAAGCAAATCGGTTATGCAGCAAACAAAAAGTACTGCTTATTTTAGATGACTACTTCAATTTCAAAACAAATAATATCACTGTTAATTTAGTATAAGTTAATGCCCACAAAGGGAAAATTCTGTCAGTGAGCACCTAATGCCAACATGGAAAATTAATTAAGATCATGGACTACAACACATAGTACATGGACTTGAAAAAGATCTCTCTCCAATAGCATGATAAATCAACCTATTAATGACCTGTTACATCATTGTAAAGAGACAGATAAAAGAAAAACAGCTTCCCTATCCAGATTGATGACTCCAAAGACTTCATCAGTTAACTATTCATGCTATACAGATATGGAAATGGTAGTGAAATTAGAAAGAGGGGAGAAAAAAACTGTATTCCATAGATGAAAACAAAGATATATTTCATATTCACATATAAAAACAACAACAATCTTAGAGGATCTGTATGGTCTTCCATACCGATTGTGCCCAGTCAACGACTGGTCCATTGAATGCTTCATTTCCCTGAGAGGAGGGGGGAAAATCCTAACATTACATTTTGAAAATGAAATGAAAGCAATTCTCTCTAAAATTGTCAGAAATTCTATAGAAGACTGGGGGATAGAAGAGTGGTGGGATAGAAAAGTTATCAAAGAAGATATTTGGGCTAATAAATGAATTGCACGAGTGCTTTCAAAACAGAATTTTAAAAACAGTAAGCCAAATTCTGCCAAATGTTTTACATAAAAAGAAATGTACAGAAACTCGCCTGTATAACTATATCATTTTTCATCACTTAAACTAGCCAAAGTCTGTAGATGTCCTGGAGAAAATGTCAGGAATTCAAATGCATTTAAAATGAAACAAAATCTTTAGGAAAAAAAGTATTACACATGGAAATCTTAAAAAGTGTCAATTGTTGCTTGGGTAAAATGAACCATATCAAGTAATCTCAATCCTTAATTGAAAACCACTTAAAAGAAATGGAGAAAAGAATGGTCATTTTCCCATTTTCAAACAAATGTACAATTGGCTGGTTGAAGGACCTTTGCTCTGAATATTTTCTCAGCCTGGGTCTGCACTGCGTCTGTTAATGCAGTCTAAAGATACATTATGGTGACATTTACCAATCTGCTCCTAGACATGTTCTAGACTCCTGGGAAGCAACAATGCAGTGCAATGAACAATGAGTATTTTGTGGTAATTGTCACCCTTTAAAAATATTTGGCAAGTTGTTTTACATAATAAGCAACAAGACCAAGGCTAGAATTCTTCATTCCATTGAAAATGAAATCCAAGTGTGCTTATCTGGTCTGAGAATTGGATGTTTACATAGCAAAAATCAACCACTAGTTTCACAGTGAAGTAAACATCTAGCAATGTTCATTTTTAGTTATAAGAAAACCAATTTTAAATATACAGGTACAGAAAAGAGAACAAGAAACCCTAAGAATCTATTTTCCAAGTCTCAGGCACATTTCTACTCTACGATTCAATATTGTCAACAACTTTCCATGTTGAAAATACTATATCCATTTATAACAACTTTCATGTAAATTAAATCTCCCTCGTTGACCATTAAATCTCATTTTAGCACAAAACACTTATTTTAACAGATAATTTATTTGCTTAGTTTTCAATTTCTGAGTATAAATAAACATTTAATTAAAGATAAGCTGTTTTAATGTTTGTGTTTTCTTTTTTCTTTTTAAACATTTTATTAGGAACTCATACAACTGTTATCGCAACCCATACACACATCAATTGTGTAAAGCGCATTTGTACATCATTCTCAAAACATTTCCTCTCCACTTAAACCC